GGGGGCGGAGGGCACACATGTTCTGTATTTCCTTCGCCGCCGGTAGACCACTGTGTTCGACAGGGCAGAGTGTTGTTCCCACAGGACGGCTCATAGATGACCAATCCCCCCTTCCTACTCTCCGGGTGTGTGCGCACTTATGTTAACGCATGCCGCAGGAGTTTAGACCAGAGAACTCGCATCACTACACCGCCGGGACGGAGCTGTATGCCACTTTTTTTTGCCGGCCCGGCCTACGTTTCACAGGGATGAACCGGGGCGAAAGGGGGCCCATGACCACCGTCGGCCGGTCCATCCGCGTCTCCCCCGGACAAGAAAAAATAGGGTGGGAGGGGTGGGGGAAGAAGGAACAAACACTTTGTTAAACCATCAAACCCCTACTGTCCGCCTCTCCCGGCAAAAACCATCGACAGGGGGCCAAGGAAGACAAAAGTGCATGCCCCTTTCCCCGAAAAAGAGAACAAGGGGGGAAAGGAAGGACTAAAAAACTGTTACTTTTCCCCCAATGCCTCTCTCCGAAGGGGCGTACTCTTATGTTGTACATGCCTTGTCGTTTAGACCGTTGGCCATGCGTCCTCGAGAGGACGGAGCATTATTCCCATAGGACCGATCGCCGATGGCCAATCGTTCTTTCGTACTTTGCCGAAGGTGGCCCAAAAAAGTCTGCCCTGGCCTACCTATCCTACCGATACATCCCCCCTCCTTTTCAAACCACTTCCTATGCGCCGGTACCGCTACCCGGGGGAGGGGAAGGAAGGGACCGTGTTAAAATATCATCACCCCTGCTGTCTCCCTGTCCGTGTTGCGTCTCTCTCACCCCATGGTCCCCAGGTGACAGACGTGGATGTCGAGGCCCGACTCCACGATGGCCACCAGCATGTTGTGCGTCCCCACGGTGTTGTTGTCGACCGTGTACCGCTTCTCCCTCGAGCCCTTCTGCGAGTACGGCGCGGCCCTCTGCTCCGCGAAGTGGATCACCTGAACGCAAAAAAAAAAAAACGTGCACAGCGTGTACAGACAGCAGTGAAGTGCTAGGGGTCCCTCAGTTATGTAGATAATGACGGTCGGATGTAGTGCCATGCTGTTGTCCCGGTATAGGAAATAGTGCCACTGAAATCGCCGCGTGAGACACGGATGGAATACTCAAGGTGGCTCCTTCTCGGAATAGAGCCGGGGGTTCGGGAGAGTGCCAATCAATCTGGCCGCCAAATACGGACATGGAGGGGCCTCCCCGTCTACCTGTGTGTAGTGTAGCAGAAGCCACCGTCGCGCTCACGATACCGGCTCTGTCTTCACAGGGTGTTTGACTTTTTGCGCGTGTGGAGGCCTACTACTTGTACATCATAAACTCTCTGGTCCACAACTTGACCGACCCACCCCCCAAAAAAAAGCTACCATTCCGCAAATGAGCCCCTCACTTCAGTTTCGGCACACGACGGGGACGAGTCGATACATGACATGACGTACTTGCGTACGGTGCAATATCCTTGCCGTGTTTTTCGCGTCAACAGAGAAAACACGCTTCGGCTTCACGGTCGACGAGGGAAAGGGATGAAAGGGATGACTGAACCCTTCTCGCGATAACAACTACGGCAAGCACCGCAGCGGGAGAGGAAGGTGGGGCAAAAAACAAAAAAAAGTTCCACTGGTGTGACCTTTCTGTTGTGACCCGGGCTGATACGATAGATATGGTAGTACGCCGAAGGGCCAGTAAACCGGCGCCAGAATGTACGGGACCTACACACATATAGGGTCCCAGTTAATGGTACTTCGAAGTGCTTGATGTTTTCAACAGCACCAAGACTGACGTCTTTTCATTGGTCAGCCGGTTAGCGCGGTCGATGCTAATATTAAAAAAAAAAAGCACAAGAGAGAGCCTGGGTATTTGGTGGCGTGATGCGTGCGAGGTGCCGCAGTTTCGGTCGAACGTGCCGTAGTTTCGGTCGAATGTGCCGCAGTTTCGGTCGAACGTGCCGCAGTTTCGGTCGAATGTGCTGCAGTTTCGGTCGAATATGCCGCCGCTGTTCGTGGCAAGGCGCTTCTAGTTTGTTTGTTGATCGCTGCCCGAGAACGTGCACCGTCTCCCCCCAATCCTCGTCGGCGATGTAACCGCGTGTCGGGCCCACTCTCCCGATCAGTGAGCTTCGTCGTCATCGCGATCCGGATAAGATGGGAAAAAAAAAGAAGCCTTGCGGTGAAGAATGGCATGGTGTGGCTGCCGGTAATCACACGGATCCGAACTGGTTCGGCGTCGCGTGAGTCGGCACGACAAAAGTTGGAAGATGCTATTACTAGAGCACAGCCAATGGCTTGTACACGTGCTGGGAAAGGCCGCAGCACGTCATCATCTCCCTAACAGCAGTCAGTATCTCACGAACCGTGTCGGGCTTGTGCTCCTTGAAGAGCTTGAGCAGCAGCTCGTACTCCTTGGCGACGTCGATGTTCACGTACTTAATCTCGCGCCCTGTCACCTCCTTCCAGGTCTGGGAGAAAAAAACAAAAGGAGAGAGAGAGAGAGACACTTTCAAGCAAGCACATGCATACACGCATCAATTCTTCAAAATTTCATTAAAGATGACGCTTCTTGAAAACTATTCGGATCTGATTTAGGCGGGGTTCGTAAGCCTAACGCTACCGTAGGTGACACAAGATACCACACACCCCAGACCGATTTTCAAGGCTCGATTACTCCACGGTAGAAGAGTGGCGGTGCCCAAAATGGCGGGAGGCGTAGGAACCGTCTGTCTCGTCGAGACCTCTCCGAAACACGTCATTTGATTTCGGCATACTCTTCATCGTGGAGTAGTCGAGACTTTCAAAATCGGTCCAAGGGGTGTGGTATCTTGTGTCACCTACGGTAACTCCCACCTCCGATGCATACCCCAAGCTTTCTGTCCTCGCCAAGGCTACCGGCAGCATCAAGTGCTCTCTCCCTCTCACCTTGACTCGAGTCTGTGGGCTCTGAATTGGCGTCAGGGACTCGCAGCCTAGCTCGAGGTCGATCCTCCTCCTCGACAGGTTGTCCACCATGATGACGTCGTGCCTGCGTGTCCCCGTGCGAGATAGTGCATGCGTTCTTGTCACATGGTTGTTCTTTTTTACCAGCGTGGTACGTATGGGAGAATAATGTAATACCAAACAATCTTGTCTTGTCGAGGCTGCCACCCACAGGGGGAGATATCGCTAGTCTATAACATATGCTAATCGGGGAACCGTCGAAAAACACGTACGTCATCACATTTTTTTTTTCTTGCCATGAAATTGCCAATTATCCCGGACTATTTCCAGCACCATCTGTTTTTTCTTTTTTGTGTGTCTTATCTTCACTTCAAATCAGCGCTCAGAGCAAATGTGCCGTTTACTCCAACCCGTGTCTGGACAGGGAACACCTAGTCTAACAGGGACCTCGGAATCATGGTCCATTTGGCCAATCAAAAAAAAAAAAAAATGGATTCGACTGCGACCTCCTACGTTCCATGTTTTAGGTGATTCCGCCGCACAAAAAATAGCAAACGGACAATGTTCACTGCTGGTGGGACACGGACTCTTCGGTGCTCTTTGGTGCTCTTCGGTGGCAATTCAGGCCGTGGTGGGATGTATGTGGTCAATTCGGGGCATGTGGCTGCCACAGGTGCTGCATGCTATGTACCGGTTGAAGCTACATGGGCTCTGCCACCATCGTCACGTGTTTCGCACGCAAAAAAAAAAAACGGCGGCAGAAGCTGATTGGGTGCAGTAGCTCGTCACAGGCCGAAAGAGAAAGATGGTCGCCGTAAGACCTTGTTGAATAGAGAGTGAGAGACATGCGGGAGGCAACACCATCGCCATGCAGCATGCCCATCAACAAATTTCATCCGCGTTACCCCCCCCCCGGAGGTCGCGTAGACAGTATATACTCTGCCGAGCACCCCAAACAGCAGCTCGTGTAGCCGTTGTATCCGGGAAGATACGCGTACGTAGAGTGCCACAGGCAACGGCTGGCCTGCCGTTGACCGCAGCCCAAGACGCACGCCTTCCAAAGTACGCTCGACGGTGCAGATTGCACGGCGAGCACCGCCTGCTCGAAATGATGTGCGCTCGTCAACAGCTTCCTTGAAAACCTACACCATTATCCCTCCCTCCGGTACCCCCCCATCATCTTTTCTACCTCCATTGGTTGTGCTTGTTGCCTTTCAATACCTGCGGGCCGCATACACGCGGTGAAATGTTCATGTTCCGTGTTCCATGCCCAATTTGCTGTTGCATATGGTACGTTAGGACACAACGACGAGGAACAGCAGGGAACAGGGAATTCCGAATTCCCTTTTCCAGGTTGTATGAATAGAAGTAGGACGTTCGTGAACGCCCTCAAGATGCATCTCGACGGAAGGCATCGCGTTTTCTAGACATAACGTAGCAGACTCTTTCGTCAAACATGAAAAAAAACTTACTTTCGGTAGAAAAGATATCGACACCAAATCACTGACAGACGAAGTAACCCGTTCGAGACATCACCACAGAAGGGGATGTGTTGAAAGTCCTTGCAGCTTTGCAGTGAGTGTGTGTGTGGGGGGTGGGTAATATTTTTGTTCTTCATAGAACTACCCTAGACATTACTCTGTTGTTATGAAAACAAGACGACAAATCCACTCTGTATCGAAAGGGTGCAGGAATCAAGTGAACAGCAGTGCATCGATTGCAGGGTTGCCTGGGCACTAAACCGTTATTTTTTGTTTATTTATCTATATACTCCGGAGTATCATTCAACATGCATACCATTCCCCACGCAGCACCTTTCGTGTTTCTTGCTTTACACATGACATATGTACGTGTAGACTACTGCTGTGCGGTGTCGAAACAAAAAAAAGGCGCCATGGAGGAGTGCGCCTCACGGGCACGCCACGGTTTTCGGGGGAAAGCGGCAAAAGTGCACGCATTCTTGTATGCAGACGTACATGCATATGTAAGACAATACTAGTACTTGTCAACAAAAACACAAGGCATACCAAAAATTAGGGCGCCAGAGGCCAAACGTTGGCAGGGCGGGGGGGGGCGAACAGTTTCGGCTTGAACCGACCACAACATGTTGTTGTCTTCACATAAAACGGCGAGATTCTTGGGCGAACACGTGTGCTGCTGCTGCTGCTGCTGCTGCTGCTGCTGCTGCCTCTGCTGCACATCCGTGTTCCCAAAGTATGGAGCGTAACGGGGCTGGTGTGCATGTGTGAGCCTATCCATGTCCCTGAAGGGCTGGTTTTCGAACTTTTGAACGTCTCTACATCAGCTCTTGAGTTTTGAATTTTTTTATACACCTCAGACTAATATTTGGAAAGGAATCTACCGTTCGTTCCCTTTCTGTCTCTACTCTCCCCTGCCTCCGATAGCTGCTAGTGAGTGTGTGCTACTGCAAACCGCCCCTGGCGATACAGCAGAGACCAAGCAACTCTGTTGTGACCAAGGTGGGCTAAGGGGCGAGAGGGGTAGTAGGCACAAAAGTTCGGGCGCTACTCGTGTTCGCAACAGCATGGAGAGAGAAGGAAGAAGCATGAACACAGCAGGCTCATGTGGTGTGGCGCGTCGATCGCACAACCGCACAGAAAAACGTCGCCCTTACCCAGCATCCGAGAGGTGCAAGCACGTCGGCCAGCCGCAGAACCCATCACCTCCCAGCACAACAATCGTCTTTGCCGACCCTTCGGACATGCACAACCCCCCCGCGCTCACGGCAGCCGAAGACGACGCTCCCCTCGCCACCACACTGGCCGCATCTGATGCTGATACTCGCTGCGGTCTCCTCGCAATTTGCGCCCTAGACCCCGCTGCTGCTCCTGCTGTTGCGCCTACGGCCGAGGGCCTCCCCGTGAAGGAGGAGGACGTTGAGAGGAATCCTTCGGTGTTGGCACAAAGGCTCAGCGCGCAGAGCACTACGTGCAGGGTTCTCGCCATGGTGTTCCCCAAGAGGTCGTCTGTTGGGTGATAAGTAGAGCAGCAACAGGGGCAGGGTCGGTCGATGGGCGGCGGCCCTGCAGAGTATAATATGAATGTACCACGGCAGTACTTGATGCTATGTGTGGGTGCCCCTCCCGCTGTCACACACCACATGTGCTGCTACCGCTCTTGCTGTGTGCCCCACGTTCACATTGAGTACGGAGAGAGAACTACAGGTGTGCATGTGTGCGTCTGTGTGTTTCTGTGGTAGGAGATAGGAGCGGAAGCTGGTTGTGCGCTTGCAAAGCGTAAAACTTCAGAGTCGACATCAGCCATAATTCAAACCCAACGCTTCGCTAAGCAGAAGCTTATATCTTGTTGGGTAAGATGGTGTGGGGCTTGCACTGCGACGTTGTCGACCCGTTCGACGTGCAAACCTTGTTGGAAGGAATGCAGGCGGTGTTGTTTTTCACGTGTGCTAGCCCCATCGCCCCCCCCCTCAGCAAAACAAGCGAAAAGTCTATGAGGCATTTGGTCGTCCCGCCATGTTCTTCGCTGTCTGTGCTTGTGCTGTCTGGGTAACCCACACACCGCCGACTATCAGTGTTTCTGTCCTCTCTCCCCGCTGGCTGTGTTCTGCCCAGGGTGGCTGAGACTATGGGTGTCAGCGAAGAGAATAAGGCCATTGCCGAGGCAAAGAAAAAGTGAGTGGTATTACCTTGCTCCTTAGTTATCCGATTGTACAGATACTTCGTACAGGCGGTTTGCGGAATCCACACCCCCTTACGCAGATCTTCAAGCGCTCGACTACATACAACTCTTGCAGATAGAACTATTTACGCTCCCGAGAATGGCGACGTTGCAGACTTCTAGTCAAGAGCTTTCCGAAATATGCGTTATTTGGTTTTGGTACCCCATTCGCAGTTGAGTAGCCGAGCTTTGGAAATCGGTCCCGGGGGGGGTGGTATATTACGTCATGCAACCTTGAGGTTCACGCTCTCTCGCCAAGTGCATGCAGACAAGGTCGTCGGGTCAAAACAGGGCTTGGCGGCCTGTTTTGCTGCATCCGCGCGTGTGCTTAGCTCATCACGCTCGCGAGCTCTTGTCGAGAGCGTTTTTGCACGGTAAAGGAGTGGCTCAAGTTCCTTTTTTCGACCAGTTTGTTTATGCGTGAGAGACAGGACCGAGGCCACGCGGAAAGTCGCGCCGTCAAGTCCATCACATCCATACAGCAGTGACATCCGCGTGGCCCCTGGAGATCCAGTAGCATTCGCGAGGACAATAGTATTGGTTTTAGTAGGGGTTACGGGTTAGGGGTAGGGATTAGTTACGAAATCCCATCTTGATTTCACATACTGTATAAAACGCTTATTATCCTTGTGAAGGCGGTCCAGGAGATCTTGGAGATCTCGTGGCTCTGCCGAGGAGTATACACAAGCAGGCCTAAACGGCGTCTTCTTCCTGTGGGGTGGGCCTGGAAATGTCGTGCATGTATTGCATGTAGAGGGCTGGCTTCTTCATGGCCATATCAAAACTTGCTGCTCGAAGGGGCCGCACGCTCTTGTCCACAATTCAGTACATGTCCACACGAAGCGCTTCTTCTTCCGGTAACCCCGACCACATCTGACTGTATGTTTGCATGTAGTGACCCTTGTCCAGGTATTCTTTCCATGTGCACAAGTGTGATTTCTGCTTGTCCCCTGCTTGGTGTAAACTCACTCCGTTTTCACCTTACGTAAAAGTATTGGCGTGAATCTCCCACTCCATAGTACCCGATTGCCAATGACCGGCGTTTTCCCCCTGTCGTTGGCGCGCTGTGGTTATTGTCCTTGTCGCCGCAACTGGAACGCAGGGCGGGCAATGATGCATTTGCAAAGAAAGATCTCGACGAGGCTGTGCGCCTCTATTCTGAGGTGAGTCTCGAAACGGGGGAGAGTTCTTGTACCCACCCACCCCCTCTCCCCCGTCATGTTGGTTGGGGGGCGGGGTAGCAAACATGCGTCCGCGACGGTGCACCGCCGTGCCTGTACTGTATTGGTGTTTTTGGATGTTGACGCGCCTACACAATCAGAACGAAGAACGCTGTTTTTGGATGTTGAATACATAACGTGGTACATCTTTCGCACCGAAGCAGCGTTGACCGTGGGGGTGTAGTCGTTGTTGAGATTTGTGATGAGTGAAAGCCGTTTGTGGCTGTGCGGAGCGCGCGGGGGCGGCGTCCGGATGCGTCACACCTGTAGTCACGCCCTCGTTGGCCGGCGTGTCCCGTTGTTACATCATCGTGGATCGACGTAGGCCGTGTTCCCCGAGCAAAGCGTGCAAGAGGAGACCGTTCTTCTGTAGACCCTTGACCCACCGTGCCGTCTCATCGTCACACACACAGCACCATAATCCCCCACCGACGGAACCCGTCCTCCAATGCATGGTCAATCGAAAACATCCTTCTGAGACAAGTGGCGGTCAACCCCCCCCCCCCCCCCCCCCCCCCCCCCCCCCCCCCCCCCCCCCCCCCCCCCCCCCCCCCCCCCCCCCCCCCCCCCCCCCCCCCCCCCCCCCCCCCNCCTTATGAAAAGTAGCGTGGGCCGGAGAAAACCCGGCATGTCGCTCCGTCCCGGCGTGCGAGGTCAATGGTCTAGCTATCGACTACGGCATGCGTTTTCATGAGCTCCACCCCTCTCTTACATCTTTCTACCCCGCCGGACCCCGTCTTCCCACCGCCCCGATTGTTTTTTTCATTCAGGCAATAGAGCTGGACCCGTCGAGCTACATCTACCGCTCCAACCGAAGCGCGTGCTACGCTCTGCAGGGGAAGCACGAGATGGCCAAGGAGGAAGCGGAAGCGTGTATCAAAATCAACCCGGACTTCACCAAGGGGTACTATCGGTGAGTAACGGGTCGTGTCGGTGATGATGTTAAGGGTGATAGTATTTTATTGTTGTTGTTGTTGTTGTTGCTGCTGCTGCTGCTGCTGCTGCTGTTGTTGCTGTTGGTAGTCGTCCATATTGTTGTGTTTTTGTCTTCGTTGTTTCTTTTCGCTACGAACTAAAAGCGATGATGATACCCTCCAAGTCACATTTTGGCATCATATTTGAATCGAATCCGCCGCGTTCCTTGCCCGACCCCCCGGTCTGCGAGATGCCTACGGTGTTACAACCCCCCCTCCCCATCCGTCCACGACGGTGGGTGCCCTCTCACGGAAAGTACTCGTCCCCTCTCCCCCCCCTCCCGCCGATCGGTCCTGAGGGAACAACGCTCCGTCCTCTCCAGGACGCGTGGTCAATGCTCTAGTAACTGTGGCATGCGAAACATGAGAGTACGCCCCCGCTCCCACCCTCCCGGCGGCGTCTTGTTAGGAGGTTAGGACATACCCCTGTGTCCTGAGGGCATCTCCCGCACTGCCGTGCCTTGCCTGACTCGATGTTTATCTTTGCTCGTGTTTGCTGGGATCGTTTATTCGGTCGGTGGCCGGTGGTCAGATTGGCGACGGCTCAGACCGAAATGGGGGAGATCGACGCTGCGCTGGAGACTGTGAAGGCCGGCCTAGGCAGGAATCCAAGTGAGAGAGACAGACCAACCGTCCCCCGTGTGTCGTTGATGTTGTCTTTCTTCCTCCCCAACGGAGCGAGAATAGGTGGAAAGCGCGTATGTATGTAGCTCGTTCAAGGCACGGGTCTCTGGGGTGTTGTACCTCCCGGGAAGAATGTGTGGGGGGGTATGCTCGGCGGGTGTCTCACGACCACGTCGCCCCCACCCCCCCAGGGTATGGTAAGCCCTCGCGGAATCTGTCGAAGATGGCAACGATGTGTTTTGTTGTCAAGGAATGTTCGCCTACAACGTTGTCGGTGAAGGCGGTCCAGGCATCACAAGAGTTATTTTCTTGTAGGAGAAAGGCCGCCTACAATATTGTTGGTGTAGGTGGATCCGTATCAGGGCTACCGACAGCAGTGCACCCACCCTCTCGGAGAGAGGGATGTGTACCCAAGAGGCACCCAAGCTAAGGAGGATTACCCCTCCCCCCCCCCGCGCAATCTAGACTTCAGTGGGTTGGCGCTGTTGGCAAAGCGCTGTAAAACACGCCACCCCAAATATAGCCC